CGGTGTTCGAGCAGTTTGTTCAAATGGGGGTTGACATTAGCCGAGCCGATGGGATTCTGGTGAATACGTGGGAAGATCTTGAGCCAGTTACGCTTCAAGCTTTGAGAGACAGTGAGAACGGTTTAGGAGGGATGATTCAGGGGACGATTTATCCAGTTGGACCCATAGTGAGAACCATCAAACCGGGAGGGACCAGAAACAATGAAGTTTTGAATTGGCTTGATCGGCAACCTCCAGAGTCAGTGCTATATGTCTCGTTCGGAAGCGGAGGGACGTTGTCGCCGGCACAAATGGCGGAGGTGGCATGGGGTTTGGAAATAAGTGAACAGAGATTCGTTTGGGTGGTGCGTTCGGCGAAGGAAAACGCAACAAACGGCGCATTTTTCAACGTGGAAAACGCCGGCGTTGACGATTTCTTGCCGGAGGGGTTCACTAGTAGGACGGACAAGGTGGGACTTGTGGTCCCCAAGTGGGCTCCACAAGCAGAGATCTTGGCTCACCGTTCCGTCGGTGGATTCATGACACACTGTGGGTGGAACTCTACGGTGGAGGGGATCGTCGCCGGTGGAGTTCCGATGATAGCGTGGCCGCTGTACGCCGAGCAGATGATGAATGCAACTATGTTGACGGAAGAGCTAGGGGTGGCTTTAAGGGTGAAGAAGATGGAGAAGGAATCATCAGTGGTTATTGATAGGCTAGAAATTCAGAAGCTAATAAGAAGATTAATGGTGGAAGAAGAAGGACGGTGTATGAGAGCCAGGGTTGAAGAGCTCAAGCATAGTGCAGAAATGGCGGTATCTGAGGCTGGATCGTCTTTTAAGTCTTTGAATAAACTGGCAAATTGCTGCGAAGTTCATCAGAAAACAAAAGTCTCCATTGTATGAAAAGCTCATGCTATTACACCGATAAATTAGTCTCGTTATCAATCCAATGAAGAGTGTTAGATGCGTCAATCTAGTTGAATTTTATTTTTATTTTTTATCGTTGGACATGAAACAAAAAAATAGTTAGATTTGTGCTAGTAACACTATTGTATTAGATTATAGGGAGAATGACAAAAAAAAATTAAAAATTACTAAATCCCAGATCTGATTTGGTAACAACATTTTATTTGATGTTGACAATACTAAATTTGCAAATGATAAAAAAATTTTGTTGGCATTCTTTATTTAGCATTTAAAAATTTTCAGCTTTTTTTTTTTGTTATTTTCCCTCGATTATATGCAGTTTTGATACACAAATTTTCTAGCTTTTTCAAAGTTACATATGAAAATTATTGTATATTTTAATTATATTATTTTATTTTAATCATATATTCCCTCCAATCCTATATATAAGCTTCAAATTTAGAAAGGGGCATTATCTATTTTATAAGCTTCAATTTGAGTTTGTCTTAATATTTAATATATTATTTTCAATATTGCTCCTAATTATTTCTCTCTCATCACATTTCCTACCACATTCTCTTTCATTATTTTTCTCATTTATTATAAAGGTATATTTAAAAATAAAATACATTTTAACATATTTATTGTTTTTAATTAATTTTAACTACTTGTTCATCATTCGTGAATTAGTTATTTGAAATTTATAAGAAGGACTGGAAGGAGTATAATTGGTTGATTTCAATTCAATTATGGTTAGGCTATATATTAACCCATGAGCCACAATCTCTCTCTCTGTTTTTTTTTTTTATTGCCAAAATTAAGCCACAATCTCAATGGAAGCACATTCCATACAATCTCAATGGAAGCATATTACATACTAATTACTATGATGAGTACTGAATGAGGACCCCAATATCAATTAGTTCAATAACTAATCTGATTTGTAATATTTCATTATATGGCGTGTGAGCGTGTGTGTGTGTGTGTTTCATATTTGCGTGTGTATGTACATAGGCATGCGTATATGTATCTATATTTATGTATATCAATTATCTTCTTACTCACTCTAATGATATTCCATGGTGATATTCTATTGCATTATCCGATGAAGAATTAGTTAGAAGCGACTCGAAATTTAAGAAGATAATTTTTTATTATTCCTTATTTTCAAATTAATTTGATGATTCATCTGGGTCTTTCTGTATTTACTCCTTCACAATCAAACAGATGTTAAATTTCAGTTGGCCAGACTATCATTTTTTATTCCTTAATTAAAATAATTACGTTTTTTGCCAGCAAAATAATTATTTTTTTGAACCATATATATTCATTGTTTAACATTAAGATATATGATTCAACGTTTCGCGAAAAAGTTGGTTCTTTTTCTTGTATTATGCATGCGCACAACTTGCATTAAATTAGTCAAAGTCACTGAGGTCACGACAAAACCAAATTCAGAAGAGACAAAACTTTTAAAAAAATAATTTAAAAAAAAAAAACCTATGTGCTATACGAGAACCCGTGAGGACGAGAACAAAGACATTTCCATGAAGTTCTCGCAATTTACTCACTTCGGTTATAACCTTTATGTTTGGTAGTGTGGTTTCTATATATATATATATATATATATATATATATATATACTATTTTCGGTGAGCTAGTTGACTAATTTGAGAAGATTAATAAAATAAATTAACTTAATTATTTATAATAAATAAGTGCTATCTTAGTTATTTATAATAAATAAATATTATCTTTCCTAAAATATCCTTGTTAATCATTTATAAGCTTTATATTTGGATGGCAGTGTGGTCTATATATACATATATATAAAACGCTTCGGACCAACCAATAGTTTTGACGCAACTGCATCTCCAAAGTTTGAATACAAGATCATTGTCAACCAAACGTTTGTTGGTAGAGTGTAGTCTATTTTATGCAATGTATAATTTGATTTTCTCTCAACATTTAGTGTGGTTTTGGCTCAATTTTATCTTTAATTATTTATCCTGTCATATTGTCATACTCTCTCGTCATATTGGCTCAATCTCTCTCTACACTTACAAGTCATTCTCATATCTCACCTTTTTTTTTCCTCTTTTTTCAATAAGAATGAAATATGGGCAAAATTGAAAAACAAGTACTCCTCCGATCCTAAATGTAAGACCCTTATACACACTAGTATAAGGGTCTTACATTTAGGATCGGAGGAGTATTAAATATTTGGAACCAAAACTTTTTCCTACGAGTGACTTACATTTTAGACTAAAGTGATACTTCTTACTCATTTATTGCTTTAAACTAATTTTAATTAATTTTTTGTTGTACGTAAATAAATTATTTGAAGCTTATAATAAGAATCAAAAGAATATTTAAAGATAGACAGTAATACTTTAGAATGAAATAATTTATTTAGAGTATCTTTCCAATCATCATTTATAAAATATGCGGTAAGTATATGAGTTTGTCTTTAATTGCGTGATGAGCGCTTTTGGAGTCCCAATCTTCATCCCAAACACTAAATGACGATGGTGACTTAAATTGATGCCCATTTGGATGAGGGAAGTAGCTTTACGCTGTACCAGGGATGCATCATGTGAACATAATTTTATCTTATACTACTTCCAGCCTTAAATATAAAAGTTAGTTGATAGTTTTCGATATAATATGTCAATCTATTTTTTTCTCCCAAATTTATAATTTTTTTCAAAAAGAAAAACCCTAATGATTGTAAGGTGTTTCTACACAAATGTAATTTCAATATACGTAATTAGATAAAAGTAATTTAAGGAGGTCAATATATATTTGCTACAAATAACTAATTTAACCAATTTTTTGAATCTCCTCAAATTAGTTATTTAACTTTTATATTAAGAACACAAGGCAAAAGTAGGCAAAAGTAGTTATTTTAGGGGAAGGCAGGCAAGCAAGCAAGCAATTGGTCTAACTCATTGCTGCTTCTTTTTTTTTTCAAATCAAACCCAAGAGCTAATGGAGAATGCCTAAATTTCGAGCTAGGTGACTCTCCCCCTTAGCAAGAGTCCGTTTGACCATCCAAGGAAGCTAAAAAGCAGTTGGCGTGCTAAAATTTTTTATTCTCTACAAATTTTTCCCTTAAATGAATGCCTCTCTTTTTCTTTTTCTTTTTCTTTTTTTTTTTCGTGAAAAAGTTTGCTTCACTGACAATGGGACTACATGTGAAAACATTTCATAATTCTTTCTAAAAATCCAAACTCTTGTGAGAATGACAATACGCTTCTCAAATGAGAGCTTTTATAAAAAAGAGACGAGGTGAATATTGCTGTGTACGTAAATACAAGCGAAAATTACATTTTACTCCTAGCTTCTGATGCTGGAATGTCCATCTATGGATAGAAAAGATTCGCATGTACCTCTATCTACAATGAAATACTACAAAACCAAATCCTTCAATGTCAAGCTTAATTGTTAATAGATACTTGATAACAGCTCTTCAAACATGATTTTTTTTTTTTCAATCCACAGGCTAAACCATACCTTGATCAAGAGGAATTCTCTTCCACTCAACCCAACTACAATTGGTGTGAACTTTTAGTTACTACTTCTAAACAAAGACCAAGTCCTCTACATTACTGAAAGAGCTTTACACAAATAACATGGAACCCACGTTCGATAAGGTCACAGTATACCTTTCTCTGAAATTAAACAAGAAAATATCTGAAGGAATTTAGAGGATCTCAACTCCTCTAAAATCAGTCAAAGCAAGGCCAAGGCTACGAAAATTGAAAAAGAGGCCAAGGCTACCACTTCAAGTTCCACTGTTGCTCTAACCACAAGGCAAAACCCGCAATCGAAAGGCATTGATCTGAAGAACATTCAGAGAGAAACGACCATTTGCAGCACCGGAGGATGCAGGGAATAGCTAGTACTGTTTAATTATTCCTAACCGAGTAGGCAAAAATCTTCAACTTCAACTGCAGCAAGCTGGAGTTTTAGCATATACGACAGCAGGTGAACTGACACCAGCACAGATAATGCAGATTCAAATGGTATACTCATGCAGATTACAGAAACAGCATTAATCAAACATGAAACTGGTTCTGCTTATAACAGGTCTAGCAAGCAACCGGGAACCCTAGTATCACACATCACTTAACCGAACTCTAGCATGAAAGATTTCTCCGTAGGGTCTTCGTACATAACATGTGAATCTGCAGCTGTTTGCATGTTGGTTTGACTAAAAGTTGGAACCTCCGCAGCATTGCTTTGTAAGTTTAATGCGCAGGGATGATGATGATGATTATGATGAAAGTTGTGTGCCTCATTCAAGGCTTTTGAGGGTTTTCCTTGTAGAGGTTTGGTTCCACTGATTTCTTGCTGGGAGTGTACTGATGTTGTAAGAGGAAGCTCTTGGACATTGATGTCCATTTTGTTGAACATGAGATTTGCAATTGCTCTGTCAATAGAGTTGGTCTCTGATTCCCTTGGCTTCTGTTCCTCATACCTATACAGGAAGTCAATGTTCTGATCAGAAGGGTTTGATGATGGTCTTATAGAAAAGACAAGCACATAGCAGTAACTCTATAAAGAGTAATGTCATCCAGTATTGAATCTAGCATTGCTGGTTCAGTGATTTGACATGGGAATTTAAATTCCACATGTCATTTACTCAACAGAAGCTATACAATAGGAATAAAACCCCAGTATGTTTTCCAGGCCAAAACCCAAAAAAAAAAAAAACAAACAAACAAAGAAAAAGTGTCAGTTTCAAACTGATGCTGTCTTCCATAAGTCTGGATGAAGTTACTGTTCTCCATTCAAATTCTTGTAACACGCACCAATTAAGATACAAACTGTACGGCTGGCAAGAGCACTAATACATAACCATATTTTCCTAGTTATACTAGTTAGTGCCTACTGCCTAACTCTCCTAACCCACTCCTAACTAACACTAACATGTAACACGAAGCTACAGCATTTGTTTATGTGATTATCAATGATATTTGTTACAGTTTCATCAATAACATGATTAGTTCAAAGGTCATAAAAGAAAAGTAGAAAGTATGCACCAGATGCAAATTATATACCTTCTTATCTCCCTGTGATCACTCTGTGGCGTCGTCCTTTCTATGTTAAGTTCTACATTCTGGTCTTGCACCGCATGCTGTTGTTTTGTGTTTCCAGCAAGTCGGTATAGAGCATCACGGAAGCAGATCCGGGTCTTGTCAGTGAACTGGACATGTTGAAAAGAAAATAAATTCACAAACATAATTTATGAAATCAATCAGTTGTTATGTATTTCAGCTCTCAATCACTGTACCTGTGCAATTGCCACCTCAAGATCCTGTAATATAGATTCCTCAACGGATGACTGCTGGTTTATACCATCATCTGTACTGCTCTGCTCAAAAGGGCCCAAGACTTTGACTGGTGGCACCTTAAAGAGAAATTAAATGATTATGTTACATTGTGAACTTTGAAAGGACCACCCAAACGGTGCATATTACATTTAAATTAGAAGTTAGTTCCATCAGATTTCATATTTCAATTTCAAGGCATCACACTGGTTTTATTCATATCTTTTAAGGACAAAGTAGGAAATCATCATACCTTGTGCTACAACATAAATTCTAATTACAAGACATAAAGGCTCGAATACTGTTAAAGATTTCAACTTAGGTTTTGGCTATTATGTGGGGGAGAGGTTTTATGAATATCTCTAAAACAAGATTGTGTCGTGTTTAACTTTGTTTCTCCTGTAAATATTTATATACAGGCATACTACTAGTTTCACTCTATGGTTTGAATGGTTCGAGATAGGCTGCTACTCAAATAGGAGTACCTAACATCAGCAAGGCATTTAAGGACTTTCACTAGCTTCTAAATCTGCTCACACGCTTCATAGAAATTACAAGAACAATAGAGTTGAAAAAGATAGCAGATATTGACACTTCAGTCTATACTCAGAAACCAAAGAATGCTCAGCTCAGATATGCAGAACTCTAAATAAAACAGAAGTATGGAAAGACAAATACAGGTGAACCGTCCCATCACCACAGTAAGAGTTTTTGAAAAGAAGAGAAATTCTAAGATGAAAACTCCTAACGAAAAAAATCTAGAATGAAAAGATTGCCAATAAAAGGAACAAGCTTATTAATTCTCATTCTTTGCTATGAAAATTAATCAGCAGAACTCAGTGAAGATCATGGTTTCTGCAAGCATGAAATTCTGAAGACTGTATCACACATCTGAGAGGAAGAAACTTTGACCCTTGAGGCTCAGGCATGCAGGTCTGGCTGAATACTAGAGAATAAAGTAATCACCAAATAATACAGTAAAGTAGTTTCACCAAAACAAAAATACAGTAAAGTTTAGAATAAAGTAATCACCAAACAAAACATGCATACAATGAAGTAGTTTCACCAAAACTAAAACACAGTAAAGTTTAGCATAAATTAATCACCGAAAAAACATGCTTCAGTTAGTGACCTGCAAATAACCTAATGCACCACAAGTATCGTGCAGGCCACTTGAATAAGTCATGTTTTCAGATTGAATAAGAAATTATATGGTAGTTTGGTAGCTATAATGGTTTATATATGGAATAAAAATGGAAGGAAGCAACTACATATACAGACCACTGCTGTAAATGTAGCCAAAGTTATTCACAAAGCACCTATCACCTACTGGACAAAAAGCAATTCTCACCTTTACATCCTCGTAATTGTCATATATTGAGGTGCTTGGAATAAAATCTGAAACTTCAAGGCCTTGCTGCAATACACCTGAGGGAAAGAAAGCATGCATGTTGAGATATTTCGTGCTCCTATATCACAGATACTGTTTGAAATATTTGTACATTGCAGGGGTGTCTAAGAAAGAATGCTCACCAGTTGCATTACTAAATTGGAGATTAGAAGAGAGGCAGGAGGATTTCTTTAGATTTTCAGCATTGGGTAGGGCTTCAAGCATGGAATCCCTGCATAATGTGAAAACAAGTGAAGGCTTTAGAGCCAGAGGAGAGTCATTTGAACAAGATTACCAATACTCCTATGGCAAGCCAGTGGAAATTGAATGGCTCTGTCAGAAAAAAGTATGTGATGCAAGATAAAAAAATTAAGATCATTTTGTGATAGATTTATTAAAGAAAGTAGGAGCCCTCACCATGCTATTACAAGTTCATGCTTACACAGTTCTAAGAATTGTAAGTATGACTGTCTTAGTCTGCACTGGCTCCAAAAAATAAATATGCAGAAATTTGCAATGTAAAATTACCACAGAGCAATTCAATTGCACTGGACTTCCTACGATTCAGAGCACACTCATGCCAATTTAAAGCATTTCAGAAGCTATATTATAATCCTACAGGCATAAACCAAGTATCTTAATCCCAGAGGTTATAGTTGTACAAGAAAATGTCATCCATGTGTTCGAATCTTGAAACGTCTTGAAGCTGATCACATGAAAGGGCTGTCTGTTGAAACGATTGCTCAGGCAATCCTCCACATACACTTGAACTGCTAGACTGATCTTTTTCAAGAAGTGAAGACTCAAGCTCAATTTCATTATTGAAACTTTCATCATTGAAATTGAACTCTACCTCTCTTGAACCCGTATCCATGGCTGAAAACTTTTTAGGCGAATTAAAAACTTCGGGTGCATTTATTCCCCAACTTGGCCAGGTGTCCGGTGAAGGAAGCCTATCCCATACGGCTTCGTGTTTGGGAACAAGAAGATCATTGATTCCACTCCCACAGTACCAGTCCATGGTATATAACCTGCACAGAAACGTGAAGACGAGGATTAGTTGGGATATAAAATGACCTCCAAGATTTTTTTTTTTTTTGAAGGAAAAAAAAGAGACGAAGAACATGCAGATTTTGTCGACTCAATGACATAGAAGTCATTTGATTTATCCTAAAGAGAATTGTAGGATCCCTTGTTACTTCATCATGGCATGTATATCAAAACATGCACAGTGACTCCACCGGGTGTTGGAAACCCTCTTTCTCTTTTCCTTCATCCTAGAAGAACAAGCACCAAGAAACTCCATACATAATTCGTTTTGCAGAAACTTCATTGGACGTGATTTGTTAGAGAACCCAGTAGCGCAAACTAGTTAAAGTCAAATTCGTCGGCCCAATTTTCAAGTTAAATACCATAAATCAGGCTCAGTCGTGTTCATCTCCCGGAGCCTAGAATTTCACTACTAATACTCAAAAACAAAATTGATAGACCAGGAGACCTCAGAATACTCGAGAAATAGCATTAAATCCCACAAATCATTTCCAACACAGCTTCTTAAACGGTAAAGAATTTCCAGATAATCCTTCTCACACGTTAAAATCATACATCAAGACAGAGAAAGAAGGACAGGAACAAACCTTAATCAGACTCTATCTGCAGAAAGAGAGAAACCCCAGATTGTAATTGACGAAAGCAAATCTACCCAGAAGGAGAAGAAGGTCGAAGACGATGTTTATTTAGTACCTTACGGTGTCGCAACAGGTAGAAGAAGAAACAAAGGCGGCTCCGGTTTTGGCTTGCAAGTTGCAAATTTGCAATTACAAATATTTCAAAACCAAAATCTCTGAAGGAGAGGCAGCAAGTTGCTTGAAATACTGGAATGAGTAAAGCTGGAGAGAGACGACAGAGGCCAATTAAAATAAAAAAGTCTGGCGCTTGTGGCTGAGGATTGAGGCAAGACTTGTGGCCTAAAACGCCCCATCTAAAACTGATTGCTCATTCGTCCACGTGGCCAGAGGGACCATCTTGCGATTTCCTCTGCGGATACGAGGCCCAGATAGCCCGAATCTGGTGCCAACCCATGTGAGGGCAGTGAGAAAGAATTTCTAGGATTAGTGAGGTCCCCAGTGGTGACGTGTCGTGGGGGATACAGATGTTGAGTGAGTGACACGTGGATGGAGATCTCAGTAATGTAGTGACACGTGGGTGGACAAGAAGTTTGCTTGGAAAGTGAAATGCCAGAGAACTGAAGTAACGAGTGAGAGAATATTCTTTTTTTTTTTTTTTAAAGCATAAGAGAATTTTTTTTAAGTGGAAAATGATTCATTCAGGGGAGTGTAGCGTTTAAAAGCTGTCAGCTGTATTCTTATCTTCTTATCCAAAGTCTAAGAGAGAAGATATATTTTGATTTTATCCATAGGTTAGACGAATGCACAGTTTATTTTTAATTTTTTTAACTACTTTGACTTTGGATTCTGCTTTTTAAATAGAAGTAAAGTTTAAAAATTATTACTCCCTCCGTTCCTTATTATAAGAGATATTTAATGTTTATAACATGTTTTTATATATAAAAGATACTTAAAAGTTGTCTCTATTTTTTTGTATTAATTTTCTATATTACCCTTATTTATTTTGTCTCCAGCTCATACTCTCTCTCCCTCCCACTTTACTTTTTTTAATAATTTAATTGTTCTCTCTCATACTCTCTCTCCTTATTAATGGGGCATTGTTGGGAAAAACATTATACTTTTTACATATTAATTGTGCTCAACTAATTTTAATTGTTTTTTTATCAACGTAATTTGATTATTTGTCTTTTATAATAAGGAACGGAGGGAGTAAAATTTAAGATAGAATTAATGAAATTTAAAACCTAATGAAACATGTTGAAAATTCTTTATAAGTATGATTAGGACAAAAGTTTTAAGAAAATTCCCATAGTTAATCCCAAAAAAAAATTATACTTTACAAGATAAATTCTTTTCTTATATTTACATTGTACAATACAGAATCACTTAAAATAAACAATTCCAAACACTTACTTAAAAGTTCAAAAGTTATCTAAAGTGATGATTAAATATAGTTTACATAAAAGGACTTGGTTTTTTTATTATCAATAAATCTTTGTCTAGTTGTAAACAAGGTATTAAAATTGCTGGTCAAATAAAACATGGTACTCCTCCGGTCCTAATTATAAGACCCAATTGACTTATTTGAGGAGATTAAGGAAGTAAGTTAAGTTGGTTATTTATAATAAATAAGTGTTGTCATTCCTAAAATATCCTTGCTAATTAAGTATATTGGCTAAAACTATCATTATTAGAAGGATTATTTTAGAAAAAAATACATAAATATAAGAGACAAAATGGATTGGGTCTTATAATTAGGACCAAATAAAAAGTCAAATTGGGTCTTATAATAAGGACCGGAGGAGTATTAAAATTAGGATTGGCCGATCATGTCAACGAAATGTTGTTTTGTGTGTAATTTACTCATGAATACTATATTTACTTGCGAATTAATATCTTTTCATTTAAGTATTATTCTTTTTCAGGTTATATAGAAATATTTTTATATATTTTAATTAAACTATATTTTAGTAATGAGTAGGTTAATTCTAATTCAGGCTAAAGTATGTTTTTAGTCTTTTATCTTAAGCAAAGTTTCATTTTAATATCTTAACTTTAAAAAATAAACGTTTAGTCATCTAATCCTACAATTGCTAACAAAAAATGATGATATTGAGCTCTTCAATGTTGATAAAACATTACTAAATACTAACATATTAAATTTAATTTTCAAAATAATCATGATTGTTAAAAAAAATTATCATTTGAGACTAATAATTTTAGAGTTAAAAGACTAAAAATATACTTTTTAAGGTTAAAGGACTAAATATATAGTTTAGCCTTCTAATTCAACTATAGTTAGACCACTCAACTTTTAAACTAATATCTCAGTCGATTTAATGACTAGTTTAATTTTTAGTGCTTAAGGTGTATTCTATGTAAGAGTATTTATTTGGCTACCAATATTTTTCAAGGCTTAACCCTATACTATTACTTAATAAATTATTGTAAGTTAAGTGTATCTTCTTTAATAGCTAATTTCAGAACAATTAAACAGTTATTAAATTCAATGAGTGGTCTCAGAAGGTGACTTTTTTTTCACTCAAAACTTTTAATCTTATACAATTTAAACCCACGGATCTACACAAGTATACCAATATTAAATTTAAATTTGAGACCTCATCCACCAATAACAACAGGTGGCACTGTTGTTGAAGCAATCGGACGGTGCTTAGAAAGCAGTATTGAGCCTCTTCCCGTTATTATTATGCAGGGCGGATCCACAGCTCCTTAGCTGCACATCCCTTCACTTTGGGTAAAATTACAAAAATAGGATTGGAAATTTTAGGACTTATTTGGTTTATTTTTTTGAAAACATTTTTTTTTGCTTTTAAAAAACAGAAAAACAAAAAAAAACTTATTTGATAATTTTTTTTAGTTGATTTTTTTAAAAAATATATATAAAACAGTGACATGTTTTTAAAAACTATAAAATCAAAACAACTTTTACATGTTCTTTTGTTTTTGTTTTGGTGTTTTTTGTTTTTTGTTTTAAAAAATTTTAGAAAATCTTCTTCTCTTCTTACTTATTATTCATCACTTATTATTACTAATGACAACTATCACCTACCAATTGTGATTTTCTATTTTTTTTCCATATATGATTTTTTTTAATTATTATCCACACAATTTTTTTTTTGTTTCCAAAGCTTGTTCTAGGAAACAATTTTATAAAATTGTTTTCAAAACAATAAAACAAAGAACAAAAACAAATTGGCCCCTACAGGTTTGCATATCTTACTACTTATCCAGTCTTTAATATAAGGCTATTTTACTAATTTGATTATATTAGAAAAGTTAGGTAAGTTAATTAATTATAAGAAATATGACATGGTTTTTTTAAAATATCATAATCATCTTCCTCAATATTCTCCTCCCCTCTTTTACTTGATTATAATTGAGGCAGTATTATGATAAATAAACCTTATATTTAGGATTAATATTTGAGCTTAGAATTAAATGATATTTCAAAAAAGTATACAAGTACACGTATAATTGAAAAACTTGATATGACGAATGTGATAAAGTTGATGTAAACATTATCCTATTCAAAATATTCAAGTTTCACTTTTACTGTTTTACTCCAATTCATTCGAATATTATTTCTCTACTAACGAAGGTAAAGTTAAAATTCTAAACAAAGACGATTTATGTTATTCATATTTCAAATTATGTTTGAGTTAATGAACCAAATTAAATTAAGAAACAAAAATCAAACTTTATAAAATCTTCAAATAAACGAACTAATAATAATTTTTTTATAAAAAATAAAATATCATTAAAATGAAAAAGTGTCACAAGGTTCCAAAACAGAAAAAGCAACAGTTATATTATCAAAAAAAAGAAAAAGCAACAGTTATCTTGAGTGAAATTTAAAAAAGAAGAGATAGATACTACCCTATAATTACATTCCTTAGAACAAAATAAAAAAGTATCCTTCTTAATTTGTTTCTATTGATAAAACTAATTGTCAAATAGTTGTAGTTGTTTTCCTCTAAAATTTCAAAATTCATTAGCCATAATAGTGCTGCCTGAAACAAACCTAGAGAAACATTTGACCCTAATAATATTCTTTACTTCTCCAAAAGAAAAGCTTAAATCAAAGATCCATAAAAACAAATAATACTCTGATAATCCAATTTAACATATTGCTAAGCTGATGCTTTCATTCATGGGCTTCAACTTTAGCTCAAATAAAAAATTAGATGGGCTTTAAGTTTGAATGGGCTTGGACTTCAGCTCAAATATATGCGTCATTTTTTTTTATCATCTAAATACTTGTCAATTGTTAATTTTCATATCCATCCATTAACGTGAATCAAGGGGTGTTTATATAGAAACAAAATTATAATTTTAAAAATACTTTTATAGTATACAAAGTAAATATATAGATGAGATTATCT